CTCCTGAGTGGCCTCTTCCAGAATGGCAATCAGTTCGGGCGTGTGTTTCCAGTCCTGCCGAGTGACCAAAGTTATGGACGCACCCGTTCTCCTGTCATTCACATCAAAGAGAATCAATACATTGTTGGCAAACAACTCAATTGGCTCTCCAACTATACCCGGCTCTTCCAGTTCTGCCCACTCTATGAACGTATTCCTCGACATTACGCGGAAAATCAAAATTAAAGATATGACTGAAAAATAATCACAAATGAATTACAATTCAATTAAATGGTAAAGACATACGTGATGTCTTCGATGTCAAGTCCTCGTGAGGCCACGTCTGTAGCGAACAATATATCGACGGCTCCACTCTTGATGTCTTCCAACGCCTGTTCCCTGTCGTGTTGATCTCTATCGCCGTGTATTGACTGGCAATCAATGCCTTTGAGCACACAATCAGAGGCCAAATCGTCAGTTCTGATTGTGTTAAGTAATAAATTTACATCAAAAATAACTCAAATCGTGTCTTATGTCAGACTAACAGTGCTTTTTTGCCGCAAAATATGATCACTTTTTGCTTTTGTTCGTTTCGCTCATCGCTATTATGTTTTCTCATCTTATCGATGAAGTCATACATAATATCGCGTTTGTCTTCAGCCGTTGTGAGAATAATCTGTTGAGAGACGCTGTGAACGGCCGCCAAATTCAAAGTCCCGACGTAGACCTGCATCGGGTTTTCCATATAAGTGACGGCCAGTCGACGAACAGTTTGAGGCCAAGTGGCTGACATCATTACAGTGTGGCGGTTAGGCCTCACGTCAAGCAGTATTTTCTTGATTTGCGGCTCAAAACCCATATCAAGCATACGGTCGGCTTCGTCTAAAACCTAGATTTAACACAATTATAAATCGTTTTTCATTCATATGTCTACAAAAACAACTCAATTGTATACCAAATAACTGACGGATGAGAGGTCTATGTGTTTATTCATACAGAGATCGTTGAGGCGACCGGGAGTTGCGATCACAATCTCAACCCCTTTGCCCACACTATTGATTTGAGTCGCTCGGTCTCCGCCGCCGTAAATACAAACACATTTAATATCTCTGTACCGATATTTTTGACACTCCTTTTCGA